GCTTTTGTTTTCGAAGCTTTTCATTTTTTTATTTGTTATCGTGTTAATTTTTGACCTCCGCTGCTCCGTCACTCTTTTCGGTTCCAACTCTCGATCTATTTTACGTTTTTGGTTTTCCTGTTTTATTATCAATTTCTCTCTGGCCGATACACAACTGAAACCAGATCTGAAAATAAAAATTGCACGGAGCAAACGAATAAAAAATAAACTCCGAACGGAATTTCAAACAAAAAAAAATAAACAAATGGAATAGCTTGAAGCTTAGAAGATAGGTGTTTTTTTTACCTTTGTTTCGTATGCTCTTCTACCAACGACATGTATGTAAATATTTGTTATTATTATGTTCAAACACACTGAGGTGGTGCGTTTTTCCCTCTACCTCTTTCTTTCGTTCTCTCTCTCTTTCTATCTACTGTTTGTGTCACATTTCGTTGAAATGTTGAAAGTCGAAATTGTGTTCGTTCCATATCAAAAAAATGCTGGCAAACACTGTACGTCTATATGAGAAGGACGTGGCAAATGGTACTTCCGGCAAAACATGAGCGTGAGCGAGGAAACGAGCGAGAGCGAGAGAGAGAGTGCGCTTAATCCTACGCGCGATGTTCGTTTTATCTGTCGTTGCTGTTGTCGCTGTTACTATTATTATTGCTGTCTGTGTGTGTGTTCGGTATGTGTATTCACCTTAATTGTGAATTCACATTGGCGATAGTAGGTTGACTGGTTCTCTGATATAAAATATTGTTTTTAACTTCCTTTTGCCTCCACCTCTCTGACATTATGGAATGACGCAAACGACATACACTCTACCTCCCTCCCACCACTCTCTCTCTCTCTCTCTCTCTCTCTCTCGCGATGACCAACAATAATACATGCATCGTTGAGAAGAGCATAAAAACAAAACATCCATCGCCTAAGCTTATAACTGTGCTTTTGGTTTATGTGTTTGAATTTAAAAAAAAATCGACCAAAAAATACATACATATATGCATCGAATATAAAACAAAAAATAAAAATGGAAACCACTTGCAATCAATAGTAGGAACATTTTTCATATATATCATTTATCGACAGATGACCACCAACAACAACAATTGTGCACCATTTTTTACTCATTTTTGTATCTCATCAATTCTTATTTTTGGTTGCTCTTCATTTTAAATCATTGTTTACAATATATTTCACATTCTTTTTTTAACCATTCACACACGCTCACTCACCCCAACTTCATTTGAAGTCCAAATTGTTTGGGCTTGATTTCATTCATTAAAACAAAACCAAACCAAAAAAAAAAAAAAAAAATCATGAAAATAATCTGGAAATCATAATCATGTTACAAGACATCTAACACAAATACACACATACACAAACACATTACACACATCTATCTCGTACAGACAAAACATTCCACAATCCAAAACACACACAAAAAAAAAGTATTCCATTCATATTCTAACATCGAAGGATCAAAAATAAGACATGAAAATAATGGAATTCAATAAAATCGAATAAATCTGAACGAAACAGGTAAAATCTGGCTGAATTCTGCCCAAAAATGACCTGTTTTTCTCCTGGTGGGCTCAACAACAAAACAGCACTGATCTCTTATTTGAATGAACCCACAGTCTGACAGCAACGTGAATCTCTATGTAAAAATATGACGAAGAAACTAGCGCCATCTCAGGATGTTTTCCCCTACCATATGAGCGTCTATTGAATACCGGTTTGACCGAAGCGCACATATACATGAGTTGACAAGTCAAGCTCGTTAGGTGGCACTAGTTCTGCGTATTTCTGTAGCTGGCAGGTTGTGAATGAACCAAGAAAAATGTCTTAAAATTTACACATACAATTCGTGTATTATAGAGATTTTCTATTACACGTACATATACTATTCGGTTGGGGACATTTTCTATTTCAATTTTACTCTCTCTCTCTCTCTCTCCTCTTTCTATCTCTGCACAACATCAACAATAATCAAATAACAAAATATTATTGTGTTTGACTGAAGGCACGTGATTACTATAAAACGAACATAACATATTACCACTGAATTTAATTAATAAATTAAATTCGTTTTACGTCCGATACGATACGATGATAACATATAATTGATATTGACACACAGCATTGAAGAATCGTACGGCAATTTATGTTTTTTTTTAAAAGCAAATTGTGTTGAGGATACAATACAAAAATTGAAAAAACAAGAAAAAGTCAAAGATGATGAAAACAAGAAAAAACAGAAACAATTTTTTAGGCAAAACAAGGAAAGAAAGGATAAATGCAATAGAACATAGCAATTGTATGTATACACTTAAAGAAAGTGCTTCTTTGTTTATTTTTTCATAGTTTGAAATATACATATCTATCTATATATATATATTCAATCTACATACTAAACGATAATCAACTCTTTTGTTTTTATTTTTCATTTGAAAACACACATTTAGCCAGAAAAGTTCAGCTATTGTGCGTAGCACAGATATAACAACACTTATTTCCAACTAAATATAACCACTTTGAATATAATTCATTTGCGTATATACAATTTAAATTTTCCGTTGATTTTCAGTTTGATGCATTTGTGAGTGACACATCACAAATCGTTTGAACATTTTCGTTTTTATGGCAATTTTTTTTGTTTTCAAACTTACAAATTTTTGCATATAAATATGCTGAATTACAACTTTTATGTTACGTTTTGTTTGGTTTTTCTTAAGTAATCTAAAGCAAAAGCAGCAAAAATGTGCGAATAACATTAAACAAAACAACCATACAACTAAAATGAATACTACTGTCAGGCTACAGTAGCCGCATTATTTTTACTTAGGTTTCAATACAATTTACAACAACAACAACAACAAAAATGAACAAATTGTTTTTAAATCTATAATATCTTTCGTTTGAACAATGTACAACAGAACGAACGCTATACTCAATTGAATAAATAGGAAAGTTGAATCGCGGTTCGATTTTATTTTCGGTTTGATTCTTTTTTTCCGTTCGTTTTTTACTTTTTTTCTTAAATATATTTCATATATCATTTTTCATTTTGGTTGATGTAAAGCTAAGTAAAAGTAGTTCCATTGATATGTTGGGTTAATTTGGAGATGTCATTGAAGAGACTGGTATGATCTGCTATAGAATGGCTATAGCAGTTTTTTTTTGTCCTTCGGCCGTATGTTTCAAAGCAGTAAATCAGCAAAAGATCGAAACCAAAATCTCTCCGTATGAAATCTCTAGATTAATTTGAAATGGATGACAACGACCGATGAACCGCAGACGCTAGATGAATATTTGACAAGAAAACAAACGCACGCGCTCAAGCAAGCAAAAAGACCTATATATACACGTCAAAGTCAATTTCCATATCCCATACATACATTTATTTTTCTTTCAATTCTGGCTCGCATGGGCGACCTAAAAGCCAAAGAATGCCAAACGAACGAACTGAACGAAATACTAGAACATTCAATTTTTCAAGCAAATGCTGTTCTCGCTGCATTTCAAAGTTCGTTCTCATTTTTCTTTCCTTCGTTCAAATTCGATGTGCTCTGTATTTTTTAACGTATGCCAACATATTGGCCAAAAAGCGAGAAAAAAGTACAAATTCGTTCATATTTTCCTCCGTTGGTGAATGAAATGCGCCTCGAATGAACTTGCCCAAAACTTTTGCCAAAAGTTGAAAAGTTCCAAAATGGTCTTTTCGAGGATTATGCCGAGTTTTTTTTTTTCATTCTTCTTATTTTCACCCAAAATGTTTACCTTCAATGGTATGGAGTTGAAAGAAACCGGGTCAAAAAATGAAGTTGAAAATGCACGTAATATGAAGAGAAAAAAAAATGCTTGAAACTTTTATTTCAACAGCGCACACAAGAGAAGAAAAAAAAGATGAGAAATTATAAAATCGTCCCGCACATCTTTTACTCAACTCAACGAACAAAAAATCTGTACGTGTGTAGATAACAAAATGTTGATGCTTGCTGGTGTCATGTAACAATGCAAATTACCTGAAAATAAAACCTATTAATTCTAAGCCACCTGTCTCAAAGAATGAGGATAACCAGAGGCAAAAGCAAAATCTTGCGTTCAAGTCATGGGTCGTTGTCTTCAACAACAGCTACAATAACAACAAATTCATTCTTATTTATAAAACAACAACCAAAAACAATACGAACAACCAGCACGCCGATATTTTTACTGTTATTATTTTACTATTTTGCATTCAAATTCAAAACCAAAAATACCAAAATCGACACACACACACACGCTCTCAATCCGAACCGAAAAAAAAACCAACTCAACTTGGCAACCCGACCAAAAAAAAAAAAACAAAATCGAAACCGAAAACCAAAAAAAACACACACAATAAACAACAACGCGCGACGATGACAACAAAAAACAACTACTGCACAACGCTCTACAATCGCTGCTAAAAATCTAATCCATCGTGTGTTCTACTGAAAACGAAACCGAAAAAAAACCATGTTCTCGACGAACTTGCAATGAACACCGAACAACAACAAACAAACCGAACCAAAATACAACAACAACAACTGGAATGTTCAAAATGAAACAAAAACTATAATTGATTGGCACCGACGATCCTTTGTGCGCGCGTGTGGCATCGCGAATATATACACTTGAAAACTACTCACCTGCAAAATTCATTTTGAAATTTGCAAATGGAAAAACACACACACACACACACACACAATAAATCGCATACGAATACACAAACACAAAATTGCATCAAAATGCGCTAATGCCGATTGAAAACCGATTACACGATACACATCAAATACACTCTATCTCTCACCTTAACACACACACAAATACAACAAAACACACTCAACATGAAATTTTATCGTGCCATATTACACAATATCGCCTTCGCCAAATGCCCATCGCATATGACAATGAACGCGTGCCAAACCGATACCGAACCGAAACAAAAATTAAAAACAAAAAAAAACACGAACGTACGATTACAAATTTAGTCGGATACACGATGCGAGACATTCGATACAAATGGAACGAAGGGCCGAATTCAGTTGGTGTTTCGTCAGAAGTGTCGTTGCCACAGTTTAAGGTTTTAGGACATCGCCAACGAGCTATGGAAATCAGTCTTACAACAGGTACCTGTAGACGGTCACCGATTATCAAAACAATTTTCTTCTTTTTTTCAATATTTTTTTTTTTCGATCCGATTCTTATTTTGGTTTGATTGTCTTTTCTAACAAAACATTTTATAGAATATCTCTTTTTTACAAACCATTAACACCACCTTTCAGTTCATAAATTTCTCTGTCTCACACTCTCTGTATATCTATTTCTCAGCCTCATTTGTCTTTCTACTCAGTTTTCGTATAGCAAAAAAAAAGAAGAAAAATACAACAAATTTAACATGTGTATACATCATTCTATCCATGTTATATTGTTCTCATCTCTGCTCTATAGTTTTGTTCTATTCTCACATCTCGAGTATTTTAAATTTTCGTCTCTTCATTTTCTCTCTCTGTCATTTCATTCAATGTGTTTTTTTTTTTGGTCAATATCGTTCATTTCTCGTCTCTCACATACATTTCTCTTCATTTCCTTGTTATATTCCCTTCTTTATATCTCTCGTCAGTAGGATCGATGTGAATATATATCATCTGTATTTGATCCTTGTATCTATCGTAATATGCAGTTTTCCGTCATTTCTTTTGTTACTCATTGAACTTCATACCAGTTTGTATTTGTTTTTTGTCATACTATTCATAATTTCGATTCTCCCATTAGTCATAATCCAAAAAAGATCTCAACGTGATCGCTAAACTGATTGTTCGAAGGAAATAAACCTGATTTCAAATGCGAAGGATTTACAATGGATCCCAATTGATGGAGGAAGATTTCAAACATATTTCGCTCAAATTTCAACGTGAATCGGTTTTTTAAATTCCTCAGAATGGATTCATGAGCCATGGACCATGGACCGACCATGCTGACATCGAGTCTAGTCATCACTGGGTCGCTCTCCCAAGAAAATGCTCACTGATTAATATCACATTCATGCACAAACTCAATTCATTTCAAAGAGCCATTGGTGAATAATTGTTCACAATCATTATCATTTCATTGGTGTCTTTTCACAAATCAATTTTCTGCCAAAAAGAAACGCACTCCTGTCAAAGCAACTATTTTTTCAATTTCAAATGTACTTTCTCAAATGCATTTGGTTTTTTTTTTTTTGAAAATAATAATTCCAAATTCATCGTGCATTTGGACAACACTCCATCCCAATTGATTCAATGAATGTATAGAAAAATCGAATTTACTGAATTTGTATCGTTAACATCCCTTTGACCAATTTATCTCGTTCATATTATCTCGACTACCTACGGTCGACACATTAAATGTTTTTTTTCCCTCCAAATTCATTCCGCTTAACTCAATTGTTTTTATTTATTCAGTTCGCATGCACATTTTTCTCGTCTGTCATATTGTGTTTGAACAAAAAATAAAACGAATAATCACATGTACAGAAGAAAAGCTCACATTTCTATCTCACCCATGAAAATATATTGCATTGTATTTAGCTTATGACATCACATAGATTAAGAAGTTCTGAACAAGAACTGGCATCTCACATACATATATATCTGTACCTATTTTCATGTTCAGCCATAAATAACAAAAACCAAACAAAACACAACAAATTTACCAATGAAAAAACAAATACATGTGTACAATTCGACACTCTCTACCAGCATATAATTATGTACCATTTTGCACGTAGCATAAATGAATCTTGATATGACCGCTTTAATGCAGTAAACGCTTTTCCGCTTTTCTGCAACAAAAAAATCTAGTGTTTTTTTTTTAGAACAATCATTATACAAAATGATTGATGTAACAAAGCCAACCGAGATGTAAAAAATATAACACACTCACTCTCACACACTTAACCAAAATTGATATTTTATTCTAACAATTGAGCAACAAAATTTTTGATATATAAAGCATATATTCGATTCATTCATTCAACGGAAAGCGAATTTCATACAAACATCGACGCAACTTTATTTTCCATACAAAAAGTGTGCGACCGCACACAGGAACACGCATTTTTCGTTCCTGACCATTTTAATCAACATCAGTGAATATATTCATTTTTTGCCTTCATTTCTTCTTTGATTTGGATGCATTGAGTATTTAAGTTTGAGATGCTCCAAATATGTTTGCATTTATTTTTCGTCATTCATATATTCATAACAGTTCATTGGTTTTTGGAAGAGAGCGAACCACAGCTCCAACACCTGGAATTTTTCATTTACACACACACACACACACACTCTCTATCTCTCTTTACCTCTATTTCTCTATCTCTATATATATTTCTTCCAATCATTTTCTGTTTTCTCAACCTCCCCTCCCCCATTCAAACAACAACAAAAAAACAAAATCGTACGTACTCAATCTCACACAATTCAGTCAATCGCGTGGAGGCGCCAAATATGGAATCGACCAATTCAAAATTTGATCCAATTGGCTGTAAATTGTGTTTTTTAACCAAGCAAAATTCCAAAGAAAAAAAAACTAAACAATTCGATCCACCTGAAAATCTGTGTCGAGCGCAAACCAAATAAAAATTGCGCATTTCAAAAACGACCAAACTATTGAATGACATACAAAATGTCAGGCAATGATGAAAAAAATCAAATTGGTGATGCGTTTTATTTTTAACCCTAAAAATTAAAATATTTTTTCATGTACAAACAAAGAAAGAAAAAAAAATTTAAAAAAAATTAAACACACAAATACACATACACATATTAAAAAAAATGATGATGTAAATAAGACGACAAAATCATTGGAAATACTCTCACACACAAAATAACCAAAAAAAAAAAACCGAACAGACGGGAAATACCAAATATACACACAATATTTCTACTATATGAAAGTATTGTACAAAAAAATACAACATATAACACACATACACACACAAATTGGGCGAATTCGTTAATTGGTCCAATGCGCCAGCAATGCATCTTCTTCTTTTTTTATGTTTTCTTTTTCGATGGAAATTGCAATGTGATGCATTTCACTGTTTGGAACGGGCGCCAGCTTTCCAAATAGCACGGGTGCGGCTATGTATGAAACGAGACACACGACTCTCTCTCTCTCACATACACATATATATTCACATAAACAAAATGTATGAAAAAAAAAAGTTATACGTTCCGGCACCCGTACCACATTGACCCAAGAACTGTGGAAAATGCACCAACAACAACAAATAAAACCCAAATGCAATTTCCATTCCCGTATGCTTTGCACTTGTTCAACACATGTATACGTATATATGGCTATATATATGTATATTCAAACACCAAAAGAACCGAACATGACCAATTCATAAGTTTTGTAATTAATCTCTCTTTTGTAGTCGTAGAAACCAAACGCAATCATTCGTCTCAAACTTTTCTGCCAACAGAATGTGACACAATTCATTTGCTCATGAATTGAACTTCTTCACACCGAGAAGAAGAAGTGGAAAAAACCGGTGGATTGATGTAATTGCTAAATTGTCGTTAATAATCAACATTTGGCTTATGTTTCCGTTGAAAAAATATTTTTGGAGTCTGGCAATTAATCTGTTTGATGCTAGCAACACAAAAAATTCTTCCTCCCATTTGATGCTATGTAAAACTACGACGAAGAACAAAATTTGGAACCTAAAAAAGTGCGTGCAATTGCACGGTGCAAAAAATTTTCAATAAAAAATGAAGAAAAATCATCAATAAATTTGCGAAAGCAAGGGAGAAAGCTGGATCACAGCAGGAACCGGTTTATTCTGTTGATGGAAAATCTTTCGATGATGAAATGCGGCTTTTCAATTCAATGTGCTTTTTTGTTTCCTTATTAGTTCTATCACTAAAAAATGAATACTCTTTTATTTTCCTTCGTACATTAGAACATTGCATTTGACTACATTTCGAATCCATCTGATCAAATTCAAATTTCTTTGCTCACAAAGTGAAAAACATCTTTTTTTTATCAAGAAAAAAGAGACCGAATATCCTAAATTCAATTCCAAACCGACAAAAAAAGAGAAAATCGTGACATTTTGATGTAGGGAGATCGACATATGTTATTCATTGGACATATTTTCTTGCAGGCCAAATCTTGCGATAATATCAAATCAGAAAAAAAAACAGAAAACGATTTGATTATTTTTATTTAAACAGACAAGAACTGTGGATAGTGACTGATTTGGTGCTATCAAAATGGTCAAATAGAAAGAACGACCCAAAATACAGAAACACAAAAACACACTCAGCAAACAGACAAACCAACACACACACACACACACATTTACACTCATACAAATGATAATAAACTCCCCCGAAAAAAAGAACATACCAAACAAATACAATTGATAACCATAATTGAATTAAAATGAAAAATCAGCAAATGAAAATGGAGTGAATATACATATATATCCAGAACACGCAGAAAATTACAAAAAAAAACGAGACACGATTGAAACACACGATTTTATTTATAACATGATCGTAATCCGGATTTTCATTTAAACTTTTGAACGTTCACATCCAGAAACAAAACGGAAAAAAACGGATTTTTTTCTCTCACATCCTTCATATCATCATGAAGAATCTGTCATTTTCATTTTAATATTGGCAATTGCTTAATACTTTTTTTTCGTTTCAATTTGTCTGTGTTACGTTTTTCATTTGTCATTTAATTAACAGCAAGACTGTTTATTTTACGTGTGGCTCCATTTTCACTGTCGCCTATTTGCTGTGTATTCGATTTGCATTTTGTGATATATTTTTCGTTCTCTCATCTCATCATACACTCACTATGTATGTATTTTTCCGTATTTTTCATTAAAGAGGAAAAAAAGAAGGATATATTTTTTGTATCTCAACATTTTGTGTTCATTTGTTATATCTGTATATGAATGTTATCCTTGGGAAAAAGTGTCTTCGATTTGCAAAGAAGACATCTTTGTCCGAATTCTCTTCATTCATCCCTCTCACTCTCTCTCTCTCCCTCTCTCTCTCTCTATTTCATTGAAAACATTTTCTTTTTATTAACACCATGTTGCATTTTAAACCATATTCCTTTGAACTTTTCTTTTTCTTTTTCTTTAAAGAACCAAAACGACATTCCATCATTCTATCCCCACTGACAATCTGTGTATTTTTTCTTCTGTTTCCATTCTATTTTCTATCACTTCATATATTCATGCGTTTTTTCATTCCTTTCCTTTTCAATTTGTAAATGTGTGTGTATATACGATGGTATTTATCTGTAGAAAACTAACTCCTTCCAATCCACCTCTCTTTCGACAAAAAAATCTTATTCATTTGATTTCATTCAACACGTACATTTTCGTTATCAATTCATTATTTTCCGAATGAAAGGCGCCGGATTTATATTTCGGTCATTTTAATACTTTATCTCCCAAAAACAGTCCTTGTGTGATGTTGTTTTGTTATTTTTTTCGCCGTCAGCCCAATCGAATCTGATGATCTGTGGCGGCAAGATTAAGAGGCGGTTTGAATGCAATTTCAATTGAACTTGAATTGCTGCACCTCATTATCACGATTTATCCGTCGTGAGAATTGATAAACGAAAAAATAGCTTAATGTAATCAAGTGAAGTTTCACATTGAGCAAAAAAAAAAAAAAATTGAAAAAGACAAAATCCATCACGAAAAGGAAAAAAAGAAAAAAAATCAAGAACTTGCCTGGGCAAATACGGGAAAAAATAAGGAAAAAACATCCACAAAATACCACATTAAACCCTCAATTTTTTTTCTATCTCTTTTTTCCGAATTTATATTTTTTTTTCTTTTTCATAAAAGTAAAACCAAAATTCCCCCAAAACAGAAAAAAAAAAATTAATAAAAAATGTAACAACAACAAAAACAAACCAACCAATTTGAAACCATAAAACTAAACGATAAAATATTATGTACAAAAATATTTTATAGGAAACTACTCACGATTAGCATGTGAAATCCAGTTCGTGCGTTCTATGGGATACTATCTAATTCAAATTTATATCCCATCTGGATTGATTGTAATTATATCGTGGGTATCCTTCTGGTTAAATAGGTAAATATTAAGAATTTCCAAGCAGAAATATAATAGGTTATAAATAAATGGGTCTATATACAGCAGCCAACCAGCGCACACACATATACACGAAGCAAAACAAAAAACAAAAAAAAAAACAATATGTAGATATGACCGAAAAAAAGCGATACAAATTTACCTATCAACCTATTATACATCTATTCTTAATATTTACAAACAGAAATGCAACACCAGCTCGTGTTGCCCTTGGCGTCACCACTGTGTTGACTATGACCACACTTATGTCATCGACTAATGCAGCATTACCAAAAATCTCGTACGTTAAATCAATTGACGTTTATCTGGGCACATGTTTCGTCATGGTTTTTGCCAGTCTATTGGGTAAACAAGAATACAAATTACAAACACACCATACACACAAAACACACTAACAACAACAAAGAAATCATTAAAGATTCCATTTGTTATGTTAATTTACCTGTTGTTTTTCTTCCAAACAAAAAAAAAACATAATCAATCGGCGTCGAATCGAGCTCTTTCGAGGACGACCGAACACGAAAAAAAAGAAAACATAAATAACTAACAGAACGTTATATTGTGTTCGATTTCCGATTTGTGTTCAATTAATAATTTCCATTTAGTTGATTGTTTCAATTTTATACCCGATCTTTTCGTACCTTTTCCGTTTCTGTTTTTTCTTCGTTTATTCTTCAATCTTTGTCTATCTTCTCTCTCTCTCTCTTTCACACTCACTCTTTGGTTATCGAAGCCTTTTTTTAATTTATCACTGTTAATTTACATTTTATCTTTCTCTCTATCTCTGCATTTTGTGGCTTGGACATTTTGTCCAAGCAGCAAACCGAATTAATTTTGATTCATTTTTTTTGAAACCATTTCTTTTTTTATATTGAAAAAATGAAAAAAAAAAAACAGCAACAAATTCCAATCTAGACACAAAATTCAAACGAATCTATTTTTTCTTTTCAACATTTTGTTCATTTGATTGATGTGAATGTATTGGTGTTGTGATTTTTGAATTTGGTTTTGGTCACTCATTCTCTGATCACCCGAACTTTTATTTTCATGTCCAATTTTTTTGTTTTGATTTTATGAATTTCTTATTTTGTTCCGATTGAATCAACAACAACGAAAATTGCAATTCCGATTGATTGAAAATTCCGCTTTTTTCTCTCTCTTTTCCTCTGAATCGCCATAGGCTGATTGATGTTGGTCGTAGAGCTTATTATTTATTTAAATCTCATTTTTTCTGTTCTTCAACCGCGCCGATGTTTTATTCCTCTCTCTCACTCTCGTTTTCTTGTCGCATTAGTAAAATGCATTGCAAATAAGCTCCGATTTAATTTTGTTTAACACCCACTCTCTCTCGCCAAAATTGCAAGCACTTCTTTTTTTTCAAATGCGTTCGTCACAAACGAACACAGCAAATAAAAAATGATTAAAAACACAAATGAATAAATGGAAATGAATTAGATGAAAAAAAAAGTTTTATTTCGCTTGCCATTTCTGGTTTCATTGAGCAAATTTATTCAATTACTCACTGAAAAGGGAATTAGTACGATTGACATACATCAATGGTAATTTATCAAATTACCACCATTACTATTGGCGAAAGTAGTAATATTGTATGTATTGTATCAGCTCTGCTGTGCAATATTACTACGTTTTGGTTGGAAAACTCTCGGAAAAGCGCTACTGTGGAAAATCGGGAAATCGGGGGAAATTCAGACCAGTCTCAATCGATCAGGCGGAAAATTTCATGTGAGGTAGCGATTTTCAAGCGAAAAAACCATCCATTTCTGAGATAAATGAAAAAAATCGGAAATATCGGCTAGTTTTTTCCATTTATCTCAGAAACGGATGTTTCTTTCGCTTGAAAATCGCCCTTGGGGTCGCTACCTCACATGAAATTTTCCGCCTGATCGATTGAGACTGGTCTGAATTTTCCCCGATTTCCCACAGTAGCGCTTTTCCGAGAGTTTTTCAACCAATACATAGTAATATTGCACAGCAGAGCAGATACAATACATACAATATTACTACTTTCGCCAATAGTAATGGTGGTATTTTGATAAATTACCATTGGTGTATGTCAACCGTACTAATTCCGTTCTCTGTGAGTATCAATGAATAAATGATTCATATCTCGCCAACATTATTTCACCGTAGAACAATTTTTCCCGCATTTTTTTTCTCTCTTTATGAAACAACAAATCAAACAAAAATAGCATAAATAAAACCGATTTGCAGACATTTAATATACATGCAAAGAACAGAACCAACAGAACCATAAAAATAGCATATCCAAATGAAAGTAAAAGAACCGAATTGATAATTATTCGTATTTTTCTCTCATCAAAGCGAATCGAATCTCAGAGCGCTGCACTTTTCGATGTTTATGGCTATAAACACTATTCCTTTATTTCTCTATCTATCAAACAAACAAACAAAATTCTAACGCAAAACGATGTACGATAAAAAAAAACCCTTTAACAACAAACAAAAAATGAGAATTCCTTCTATTGTATATCAATTCCATTTTGAATTTCTATGTTTCTCCTTCCTTTTTTTTCTCTTTCTCCATAAATCACTCTATCATTTTCTCCGTCACATACATATTTTTCGAAAGTAATTCATTCGATTTTCGTTCAAGTTTTTCGCACTCCAACGTTTTGGGTGTTGTAAAACAAAATATGAATCCTTTGTACCAAGAATATTCTTCGCACAAATCAATTCTAACTTTTCCAAATCTTCTCTTGCAAATTCTTTCATGTGTTTCAACCGAAATTTTCGTTTCTTTTGTCATGGTCCCCAATGTCTATCTCAATTTTTCCTCAAATCAATGCGAGGGAAGATGTGTAATTTGAACCAAATTTTCATTTCAAATTGGAGCGAATGTATATCGTCCGGTGCAACAATACAAAACCAGAGAGAAAGCCAATTCATCCACTACTCGAACTATGAAAACAAAAAAAACGCCTTTTTTTCGATCCAGATTTGGATATTGTTGGCATCGGATGAAAGTTTTCACGTCGTTTTTCGCTTTAATTTATTTGACCATCATCCATCATGTTTTCTTTTAGTCAATTTTACCCATTGCAGTTGAACATTGGAAACACGCGGTGGCTTTGTATGACAGGTTTGATAGAAACATTGCATTGCCACACTTGTGGCATATTCCACACATGTATATAATGACAACATTTGAAAAAAAAAATCCAAACAAAAAAAAAACGCTTTTTCCGTATTATCATTTCATTTCCACTGCTGAGTTTTTGAAGCGAAATCAAGCCATTTTTTTCTCTTCTGTTAGCTTTGAATTCGACTATACCGTAATTTTCCAATTCAATATTTTTTTCTTTTTATATTCTAATAACATAAATCGTTCAATGAAATCATTTCATCCCCTTTCCACCTCAACATATATTTCGTTCATTTGTGTCCGTTGTCGGTAAAATGCTTTTTCGATGTGAATGAAATGGAACCATTTATCGTTAAATTAGTCATAGTAGATGCCTGTTCCATCCAAAATGTTCATCGTTTTTACCTTCAACCATGTATTAATGGAATGAGCTCAAAGAAACAAACAAAACCATCCTTTAGCTATGAGAAAAAAATAGCGTCCACTCTTAATATTGGCCATCAATTGTGGCCAGAAAACGATAGTGCCATTTAGTGTTAAACCGAAATAAAAAGCCTCTTTGGTTGAAACAAGAATCCCTCAAACATTTGATCGCATTTCAAAATTAGGATGAATATTAAATCGTTTTTTAGTTGTTATTCGTTTGAAAATTGACATTATATAGTCATTTGGTTTGATTGCAGCCTGTGTTCGAAGAAAAGCAAACGAACAAACAACCAAAACAAAATACCTATAGCTATATCATCGCATTCAATTATTTGGAATTTGCAATCTGCGGTAGTGTTGCATACTCTCTCTCTCTCTCTCTCTCTCTCTCTCTCTCTCTCTCTCTCTCTCTATCAGCTTAGTGATTACATTGAACGAGAAGAGAAAAAAAAACCACAACTTCTACGACAGAATGGAATGAACGAGTGAACGAACGAACGAAAAAACAAGCGAGCAGCACACACAACACGATTGCAAATGTGATTGTGATGAGGCTCTGAAGCAATCTATTCTGTGTGAATAATTGAAGGCTTTGGGATAAGTTCTGCCTGCAAGTACCAAGACTCCGATTGGAGTGGCGAGCGAATAAAAAAATTGAGTTTTGCATGCATGCATAATACTTAAAACAAAGTAGGGAAAAAATAATAACATTGTTTGGCATTGCAAAACTGATGGACAGACATTAAAACGTCTTCGGTATCAAAAAAAAACCTGGTGGAATAGACATCACGTTTTCTGAGCCAATTGGCTTTATTTCTCCTTCGCTTTTCACTTTTCATATAGAAATAGCTTCCATTGCTGTTGCGCCCAA